TGGGGCTTGAACTCTGGGCCTGGGTGCTATCCTTCAGCTCTTCAGCTCAAGGTGAGCATTCTACCACTTGAGCCATAGCCCCACTTCCTGTTTTCTGGTGGTGAGATAAGAGTCTCACAGACTTTTCTGCCCGGGCTGGCTTTGAACCATGATCCTCAGATCTCAGCCTTCTGAGTAGCTAGGATTATAGGCATGAGCCACCAGTGTCTGGCTTTTAAAACATTTCACCTTGTGAACTTTTGCATTTTACTACTAAAATGGTAAAATGAATTTTGTCTCTATTTCTAGTTTATACCTATATACCTGTATAGATAATGCTGTAACCTGGAATTCCTAATTAATTTTGATGACTTTTAAAAAGCTATCTAGGGCTGGGAAGGTGGCTCAGTGGTAGAGCACTTGCCTTGCATGCTCGAGGCCCTGGGTTCGATTCCTCAGCACCACATAAGCAAAAAGAAAAAAGCCGGAAGTGGCACTGTGGCTCAAGTGGTAGAGTGCTAGCCTTGAGCTGAAGAGCTGAGGGACAGCGCCGAGGCCCAGAGTTCAGGCCCCACGACCGGACCCAAAAAAAAAAAAAGCTATCTAACCCTGTGCTGATAGCTCATGCCTGTAATCCTAGTTACTTTAGAGGCTGAGATCTGAGGATCTTAGTTTGAAGCTAGCCAGGACAGGAAAGTCCCTTTGTGAGACTCTTTATCTCCACTTAACTATCAGAAGACTGGAAATGGCACTGTGATATAGCGCTAGCCTTGAACAAAAAAGCTTTGGGATAGTGCCCAGCCCCGCCAGTTCAAGCTCCATGACTGACTAGAAAACAAGCTATGTATTTCAAGTTTGAGTTGCAAATTGTGTTGTTTTATCATTTGTGTTAGTCTTTCCTAACAGAATTGTGCCACCTAGCGGAATTTGTGTCCTTCAGGCTGTGAACTAGCTAGAATGTCAGGTGCATTTTTGCATCAAAAATGTTCATTTAAAATGTTTAAGTTTTCTAAGTAAGAGTTTAGCACTGGAGCTGGGAAGGTGGCTCAGTGGTAGAGTGTTTGCCTTGCATGCATGAGGCCCTGGGTTCGATTCCTCAGCATCACATAAGCAGAAAAAGCCGGAAGTGGTGCTGTGGCTGAAGTAGTAGAGCGCTAGCCTTGAAGAGCTGAAGGACAA